GCACGCTGCCCCACGAGGAAGAAGAAAAGGATCGAGCAGCACCTGCAGACCGACGTCAACGACCAGATCCAGCAGTTGACCGAGACGAGGGACCTATCTTGGATCCCCCACCTTACGAGCCACCGACTGCAGGCGCAGCAGCATCTTCCTCAGGTGCAGCAGCATCGACAGCAGCACCCACGACACCAGCAGCACGACCAGCCTCACCTACAACGACCGAGGAAATCAGCGACGAGGACTTCGAGCCCGGGACGGGCGTCGATGATCGCGGACCACCACCAGATCCAGGTGACGGAGGCTGGCGCATTGCGGAAGGCGACGACCTCTACTGCGACCACCGCGGCAATGAGGTCAGGCTACCCACTACGATGGACGAGTTCAAGGCGTATATCACGAGCAGGAATCCAGAGCCCCTGCTCAAGCGAAGGAGCGTGAACGACGATTTCGACCAGTCCGAGTTCGAGTACTTCGAGGCACCGGCACAGCAGACGAAGCACGATTTGGTGGACCAGTCAAGGGACATGACGTTTCACTTCGGGCGCGAGGAACCCGTGGCGGAGTTTGCTTTACCTTGGTATATCGCTAATCTGGAGTTTCGAACGAAGCAGCGCATTCCCGAAGGGTATGATTTGGTTTATTTCTTATCTAAGACTAAGCTCAGCAGCCAAGTTATCAAACGAGATCTTCATAACCTCAGTGCAGATGATCAGCGACAACATCATGAAAAGGTTATCAGTTCTATGAAAAGAGAGTTGCAGCAGTGGTTGGAGCTCGAGAGCGCTGGTATCATGCTCAAGCGGGACGCCACCAACCTCGTCGACGGCACATGGGTTTTCAGGTGGAAGATCATGATTCCTGATGGCAAGGAGCAGCGCGAGGTCAAGGGTAGATGGACGCTGAGGGGATTCAAGGACAGGCAGTCCCAGGTGGAGACCTTCAGCGGAACCGCAGCCCGGTACAGCACACGAGTGGTGAACAGTCACGCATGCCAGAATGAGTATGATTTGTGCGCACTGGACATCTCAGGAGCTTTCCTCAAGGGCCTTACGTTCGACGAGATCAATCAAATGACGACGGACGGCTTGATCAGGCAAGTTCATTTATTGTAGACGCCAAGACAGCTTCCGTTTTGAGGACGTTCAAGGGCTGGGAGGGCTTCAATCATGAGAAACACTGCCCACGTATTTTGCGACCGATTTGGGGACTGAAGGACGCACCGAGATTGTTTACCTTGAAGTTGGCACAAGTTATGAATGCGACGCACCATATTCCAAGCAAGACTGACAACAAGGTGTACATGAGGCACGACAACCAGAATAAGTGTATTTCATTGGTTTGCGGTCATCTAGATGACTTAAAAGGATCATCGACGACTTCGGCACGAGAAAAATTATGGAAGGCATTGGAGACTGCATTTGGCAAGTGCAGCAAGCATATGAACAAGTTCATGTACCTGGGAGTGGAGCACGAGCAGACGACGGACAAGAAGTCGATCTACATACATCAGAAGGGCTACATCGCAGAGTTGCACATGATACCCTTGCCAGCTCATTCAGCTCACCGACCAGATGATGATCTCAGCATAGAATTGCACACCTTGGCAAGGAGTCTCTTGGGAGCGTTGTCATGGGTAACTCAATCAAGGCCAGAAATTCAAGTTTTCGTTGGACTATGTCAGCGTAACGCCAAGCAGCTCAAGCACAAGCACGCACAGGTTTTGAATCTGAGTTTGAAGTGGATCCAGACGCATCATGCAGGAGTTCGATTTTCGCAGATGTCGGGAGACACAGCTTTATATTGTATTGTGGATTCGGCTTTCAGAGCAGACGAACCAGATTGCCTAGCACTTCGAGCAGACATCATGGGATTGTGTCAGCACACCAGCACGAAGATCGGAGGCAAACTACACATGTTCGTGACGACCAGCAAGAAGCAATCCAGAGTGAATAGAAATACATTCAGCGCAGAAGCAGGAGCAGTTGGAGACGCAGCATCTATGTGCATTGTGTTGGCAGGTCTTTTACATGAAGTTGACAGAGGCTCGCAGACGGCTACCCAACTGGCGACATACGCAGAGCGAGGTGGTTTCAGCAGGAAGATCATAGTCTTCACGGACAGCGAGTCATTTTTCAAGGCGTGCACGGCCACCGAGGTTCAACTTCCGACTGAGCGACACCTAGCATACACAGTGATGAAAGTGCGAGAATGGTTGGACCGCGGCATCATAGCAGAATTGATATGGATAGACACGAGGGATATGTTGTGCGACGGACTCACCAAGGGCAGTATCAGTAGGTTCGACGTCATGAATGCGTTGAATCAGGGCGAGTGGCGACCACAGCACGAACCGAAGAGATGGAGTTCGAAATCCCAGACCGCCGACAAGAAGAAACGCTGAACGACGATTGCCACCTTAAGAGCACTAGAGTGCTACAGTTTATCGACCACCTGTGGAGCGTTATAGTGCAGAAGTACGGCCTCCACGAGTGGTGCGTCTACTGCGAGAAGATCACGTACGTTAGGCCAGCTTGTTGTCATTTTTTTATTGTTGCCTGCCACCGCTACCGTTGTGCCGCCGCGTATCACACGCCATTGCTTATGCGTAGTTGTAATAATTAGTTCCTCCTCACTTTAGTTGCCGTCAATTAGTCATGGGCCACAGAGCCTACTGCGTAGATTAAGCCATCACGAGAGTAAGTTGTTACATGCCTCACACGTTCCTCTCTCGGGGCCCTCTAGAGCTCACCGGGGGCCCGGCGAATTCACAGCCCGTACTGTAATGTACTGGCTCAAGACGCGTCATAGTTGTGTACTGTTCGAGCGATCGATACGGAAAACACAGCCCCACTGCATTCAGCCGCCATCGCTGCCGGGAGGAGAGGAGTTATATCACGTGCCACTGCACGCCTCCTCCTCCTCCTCCTCCTCCTCCTCCTCCTCCTGTCTCCCCTCCTCCTCCTCCTCCTCCTCCTCTTCCTCCTCCTCCTCATCCTCGGCCTCGTCCTCGTCTTGGTCCTCCTCCTTCTTCCTCCTTTTCCTCCTCCTTTTCCTCCTCCTCCTCCTCCTCCTCCTCCTCCTCCTCGTCCGATGCCTTCGATGCGGCGAGTGGGGAAAGCCGATGGCCAAACCCGCCCCCGGCGAAATCCAGACCCATGGGGCCCGGATGCTCGCCCCCTCGAGTGGAGGGGGCCGACATCGGTGATACTTCAGGGCGGAGCCAGCTCGCCTCCACGGCGGGAGCGCCGTCCATGCAGGGCCGCGTGTGCTGCGACGTGCGCAACACGGATGTCGGGCAGATTCTGCGGCCGGTAGGCCACGGGTCAGCCTTGGTATCTTCCACAATGCCGAACCTCTGCGTGCGAAAAGGTATTGTGCATGAGTCGCGTTTGTCGAGCTACGCGAGGCCCCGGCAGGCCGAAAAGCGACCCGGGGGCAGCTCCGGGAGGTCCCCAAGATCGCCCAAGGAAGTCCCAACAGGCCCCGCAAGAGGGCCCACAGAAACCAAAATTAGTGATTTCCGTATGGTTTTTGAAGGATTTCGATGCTCTCGCCTTTCCGGGCTTCTGGCCGAAGAGGCCATAACTCAAAGGCGGCCCAGGAGGCCCCAAAGAGAGCCCCTAGGCGGCCCAAAAGGGCCCCGAGGTAGCCCGAGAGAGACCCAAGACAGCCCACGACGGCCACAAGAGGGACCCAAGATGGCCACAAGAAGCCTCGAGCCACGCCCCCATTTACAGCAAAATGGCCCAGCGGAGCCCAAACACGGGCGAGGAGGCGCCCGTCATGGCCCCAACGGCCCAGGATGTCCCCAGACGGCCCAGGAAACTCCCAAGAGGCTCCCCAAGAGGGCCCCTATAAACCAACATCCGTGATTGTTTCATGGGTGAAGGATTGTTCTCGGTAGTCCTCCCTTGCCCCCCCCAGGCGGCCCAACATGCCCCCAAGAGGGCCCCCAGGTAGCCCAAGAGGGACCCAAGGCGGCCCGTGACGGCCCCCAGGGGGACCCTAGAGGGCCCCAAGAAGGGGAACTGGAACTTGCGTTCGCACCCTCTGCCCCGAGACGGCCCCCGAAACCGCCAGCAGGCCTCCAAGAAGCCCCTAAGAGGCCTCAGGAGGCCTGCACGAGGCCCAAATCAGGGCCCAAGAGGCCCAAGAGAGCCCCGAGAGGCCCAAGACACCCCAGAACCCCCCTCACAGAGGCTCCCGAAGGAGGATCCCTCAGAGAGCTCTGGGACCGCGCCAGCCACCCAAGAGAGCTCCATATGGGTGACCCAAGAGGAGACCAGATGCTCAGCCACACGCGCGGAGGCCATTGACACATTCATGTGTTGTCCTCTTCTGATGCCTTCCTTCCTCCTCCTTGCTCCTCGCTCCTCGCTCCTCGCCGCTCTCTCGTCGCTCCTCGCATCTCTCTCTCTCTCTCTCTCTCTCTCTCTCTCCTTCTCCTGTCTCCTCTCTTTCTATTCCCCCTCGTTCATCCCGCCCCTCTCCTGGCCCCTCCCTTCTCCATCTTGGCTAATGGCGTCTGCCTCCCCCCTCCTTCGGCTCTCCCTCATCCCTCTTTGTCTCTCTCTCTCTCTCTGCGTCTCGTCTCTTTCTCGATCGTTGCGATCCTTTTCGCTCCTTGCTCATCGCTGATCGCTCCTCGCTTCCTCCCCCTCTCGAACCTGATTTCTCGCTCCTCGGTCCTCGGTCCACTCACGAACTCCAGGTTGCGTCAGCTTGCAAGGGTACCAAGTAACATCGCTCTACAGCCCTAAGTATTTAATTGGCAACAGCGAGCATCAGCAGTCCGCAGCAAGCAGCAGCACCAGCACAAAGCCAAAGGTCACAGAAGCAGCAACATGCCGCAGGCAGCAGCATTCTGCAGCTGCAGGCAGCAATCGCAGAGGCGAAGTTCGGACCCAACGTCATCACGAACGTCGTTTGGCAACATCTCTGCCCTGGCCCCACGTGCCACCTCGGATTGGTTTTGTGGCCAGTAGGCCACGGGTCAGCCCCAGTCAGCTACAACGCGGGGATTAGCGCGTGCGAGAAAGGCAGGCAATGGCAGCGGGCTCTGTCATTGCTTAGTGACATGTGGGAGGCGAAGTTGGTGCCCAACGCCATCAGCCGCAGCGCTGGGATCCTATCTTGCGACAGAGGCGGGGAAGAGCAACGGGCGATTTGGTTGCTCACGGAGACGTGGGATGCGAAGCTTGAGTCCAGTGTCGCAAGCTTTAGTGATGCACTCGTCATTGCAATGCGCAGGTAAATATTCAGCAGGCAGCAGGCAGGTCCTCGTTTGTGCGAGGTACAGACCAGGGACCTAGGTGCGCAAGAATGGCAAGTCTCCGCAGCAGGCTTTGTCGCTATTCAGGGCGATGGGGGAGATCGAAGATGGAGGCCTATGTCATCAGCTACGACGCTGGGACCAGCGCGTGCGAGATCAGGGGGTAGCGGCAGAAGGCTCCGTCGTTGTTCAGCGAGGTGGGGGATGCGAAGTCAGAGCCGACATCGGCAACACTTGAAGCTGGAGCGCGCGATAAGGCTGACTTGTTCACCAGACGCTGGTCGTCCTCGGGACGGCGTGCTTGAGGAAATTCGACCTGGACCCCGCCGATGGTTATGGACGTGTGGCCGGGATGTGCGAGCAGGGCGGGCATTGGAAGCAGGTGATAATGTTGTCCGACGAGGTGCGAGAGCGAACGACAGCGGGATGATGCGATCAGTGCGTGCGCAGAGAATGATACGTCGAAGATCTCTCCACCTGTCGGTTGTGGATAGTTTCAAGCGGCCGAGCAGGATCCCCTGAGGGGCTCAGGCAGCCCCCAAAGGTTGCCATAGTTGGCATCCAAGATGGCTCCAAGACGGCTCCAAGACACCCCCCCAAGCCGCCCAAAGACGGGCCCTTCAGACGGCCCCCGCGAGGCTCCCAGCAATCCCAAGACGAGCCGAAGACGCTCCACGTGAGCCCAAGAAGAGTTCGACATGGCCCTGGGGCTCTAAGATGGCCTTCGTGTGCCACCAAGGCGGTACGCTCGTTTCCCCCGCCCGAAGTTACCTTAATGCCTGGCATCGCGCGGCAGCGACCGCCACCGGGCGGGATCACATAACAGCACGTACCATCTGTTAGCGGGGAGAGCTTCGGGCAGCAAGCTGTAAAGCCACCAGGTTGGTAACCCCGCAAGCAGAATTGCGGGCAAGCGTCCAAGCAGACAACCGATCTGGATCGTTGCATGCGGCCCGGCGAACAATTCTCTGTGGCCATTGGAAGGATTCCGATCAGATTAGGCCGTTTGACGTCGGTAAAAATGCACGGGCCCACCCTTGTCTGTACTACGCGCGTGCGCACGGGGGCGAAAAGGTTGCGAGCTGTCCCCAAGCGCCCGAAGCGCTCTGGTGCTTTCCGACGGCTCCAGAGAGCCCCTCGGTGGCCCCAAGACGGCCACTAACAGCCCCAAGACAGCTTTGAGTCGCTCCAGAGCGCACGAGGACGGCTCAAGAGAACCCGAACGGAGCCCAATGACAGCCCAACACGGCCCGACGATTGGCCAGGTGCCTTTGAAAACGGCCGAACCAGACCTCGATGACAGCCCCCGAGGCCAAAATCATAGATGCACCTTGGATTTGTAAAATTGTTCCATATCCTATTATTCCGGACCAAGAACGGCCCCAGACGGCTCCAGGGCCATCCCAGATCGCCCCAAGGTGGTCCAGGAGGCCCCGCTAAGTGCACCAGAACGGCCCCAGAGGGCCCGAAGATTGTCCAAGAGAAGCCCACGACGGCCTCACAGAGCCCCCGGTGGCCCCCAACACAGCCCCAAGAGGGCCCCAGGAGCTGCCCAACAGGTCCCAAGGCGGATTCCAAGACGGCCCGAGACCGCCAACATCGCCCCAGGACAGCCCGAGAGACCCCCGAGACGGCTCAGGAGATCCTCCAAAGGGCCCAAGAGGGCCCCAAGATCTGCCGAAGAGGGCTCGAGCGGGCCCCCGAACGGCGCGAACCATCCAACATAGCCCCCAGACGTCCCAAGACTCCCAACATCAACAGCCCTCCCAGATGGCCCCAGGACTTCCCTACAAGCCCCCGCGACAGCCCCAAGAGCGCTCCAAAATGGCCCCAGAAGCGCCCCGGAGGCTCCAGAAAGACCCCTTCGAGGCCTCCAAGAGGGTCCGAAGTTAGTCCAGACGACGGGCCTCCGGCAGTTCCCAGTAGGCCAAGAACCTTGCCAGGACCACTCCTTCCCAGGACCACTCCGATGCCAAGGAGTTTTAAGAAGAGCGCCATCAGCCACGGCACCCTTTCGCCGTCTCTGGAACCCCACAAGCCCAAAACGAAACGAAGCCCGCACCCGAAACGAAGTCCCGAACCACTCCGAGGCGGCCCAGACCATCCCAAGATACTCCGATAATCCCGACGGAGCTCCCAAGAGAGTTTCCCGCCCTTACCTTAGCCATTTTGGCTCAAGGCTGGATTCCGGATTCGTTGATCGCTTATTGGTTTAATTTGTGCACCGTTGTTCCCGAATGTCGTGCATGACGTCGCGGTTGTGTTCTTTGTTGCAGTGCAAGCCTTGCAGACTTGCACTTGTCGCCGCCGTCTCAGCTGTTTCAACATGTGTTCTCGCTGCGTCACTCTTGTAGATAATTTAAGCGTCCTGTTTAAGATGCCTTGACTTACTCGGTGGTACAACGAATCAGTTGAGCAACGTGCGCATGACTTGATGGTACATGGATCCAAGGCACACGCCAAGCCACGCTATTATGTATTGGATGCAGTGGTGATGCCACTTCAATTACCACCCGCACTCGTTGATCACGACCCAACGCTGCCACGTCAAGATGGAATGAAGCGCATTTTACGGAGGTCTGGTCGGCATTGTATCGTTTACGGTGTCGGGATAGATGGATACCCATCTTTTGAATGGAAGATGGCCATCAATGGCAATGACGTGCTTGCATGCGACAGTACTGTGTCGCCATATAGAAAACATATTGTGGTCAGGATATTATCATTCCGCCCATGGTGTATTGGACGAAAGGAGAAGGTGTCATTCGGAGGCAATACATTGCCAAGAATTGGAACGAGGATTCATTGCTCTTCCGTGAGCTGCCCTCTATTCTGGCATCATTCGAGGCTCCCCCAGTAGTCTCCGACGGCGTCAGTCGGGCCAGAAACGCCTCCGACGGCGTCGGACGGGCCAAAACCGTCCCAAGACGGCCAAAGAGGCCGCCAAGACACCAGGAATCTCCCAGGTGGCCCCAAGATTCTCCAGAGACTCCCAAAAGGTCTCTTCCTTCATTTCCTCCTCCTCCTTCTTTTCCTCCTCCTCTTTCTCATCTTCTAGGAGGAATGTTGAAGGATTTTGGCACTTTCCTCTTTTCAGCTCACGGCGTGCTGAATCCTTTCGCTTTTGGCTTTGGTTTTTTTTTCCAAAAAGTAACTCCCCCTGGAGTTTCGGCCCCGCCCGCCGGGGCCCCAGAATGGCCCGGAAAGGGTGGTTCCAAACGTTCTCCCTGTTCCAGGTGGCTCCAAGATGGCTTCCAAGATGGCCCAAGATGGCCTCCAGGTTCGCCCAAGATGGTCCAAGATGGCCTCCAAGACCGGCCCAGGAGAGTCCAAGATACCTCCAAGTCCGCACAAGAAACATCTCAGACGGCCCAAGACGGCCCCAGAGGCCTCCAAGACGGCCCAAGAGGCCTCCAAGAGGTCCTCCACGAGAGCCCGAAGCGGTAAAAATCAATGCTTTCTTCTGGTGTTTCACAAGCCTCTTGTAGTGTGGGGCACTCGCTTTGAATAGAGCAGTGTGGTCTCCCCCTCTTCCTCCTCCTCCTCTCCTCCTCTCCTCCTCTCCTGTCTCCTGTGTTCCCTTCTCCTCTTCTCTCGTGCCGTCTGCGATCTGCGTAACCGTCGCCACTTTCGTGGGCTCCTGGGAGGCCCAGCGGAGGTACGTCATACGCGGACCACCTGGGGACCTCGCCGCCCCCTGGGGGGCTTGCCATCTGCGCACTTCTGAAATCATTGCTGGGCGCTCTTCTTGCGCACTGCGGGTCCTTCAGAATGCCAGTCAGCATTGAGTGGTCCTGAGTAGAATCGCCACATGTATAGAAAGGGTTGGTTACGTCACAGGGTAATCGAAGGATTTTGGCTTTTGTTCTTTTCGAGCCTTCCGACGGCTCATGACGGCCCAAGGAGCCCGAAAGATCGCCCCCAGGGCGCCCAAGAGGCTTCCAAGATGGCCCCATGACGGCCCAAGAGGCCCCCAAGACGGTCCCAAGAGGGCGCCAAGACGGCTCCAGAGGCCTCCAAGATAGATGGAGACCCATCTTTTGAATGGAAGATGGCCATCAATGGCAATGACGTGTTTGCATGCGACAGTACTGTGTCGCCATATAGAAAGCATAGTGTGGTCAGGATATTATCATTCCGCCCATGGTGTATTGGACGAAAGGAGAAGGTGTCATTCGGAGGCAATACATATGCCAAGAATTGGAACGAGGATTCATTGCTCTTCCGTGAGCTGCCCTCTATTCTGGCATCATTCGAGGCTCCCCCAGTAGTCTCCGACGGCGTCAGTCGGGCCAGAAACGCCTCCGACGGCGTCGGACGGGCCAAAACCGTCCCAAGACGGCCAAAGAGGCCGCCAAGACACCAGGAATCTCCCAGGTGGCCCCAAGATTCTCCAGAGACTCCCAAAAGGTCTCTTCCTTCATTTCCTCCTCCTCCTTCTTTTCCTCCTCCTCTTTCTCATCTTCTAGGAGGAATGTTGAAGGATTTTGGCACTTTCCTCTTTTCAGCTCACGGCGTGCTGAATCCTTTCGCTTTTGGCTTTGGTTTTTTTTCCAAAAAGTAACTCCCCCTGGAGTTTCGGCCCCGCCCGCCGGGGCCCCAGAATGGCCCGGAAAGGGTGGTTCCAAACGTTCTCCCTGTTCCAGGTGGCTCCAAGATGGCTTCCAAGATGGCCCAAGATGGCCTCCAGGTTCGCCCAAGATGGTCCAAGATGGCCTCCAAGACCGGCCCAGGAGAGTCCAAGATACCTCCAAGTCCGCACAAGAAACATCTCAGACGGCCCAAGACGGCCCCAGAGGCCTCCAAGACGGCCCAAGAGGCCTCCAAGAGGTCCTCCACGAGAGCCCGAAGCGGTAAAAATCAATGCTTTCTTCTGGTGTTTCACAAGCCTCTTGTAGTGTGGGGCACTCGCTTTGAATAGAGCAGTGTGGTCTCCCCCTCTTCCTCCTCCTCCTCTCCTCCTCTCCTCCTCTCCTGTCTCC